CCATGGGTCATGAGCTTTGCTTAAAAGGAAAATCAAGACAGGAGCCCCCATGATCAAAAACTGCTCTTCTGCAAAGATGAGAAGGCAATGGGCAGGGAAACTGAGAGTCCTGGAAACGGACGAGCAGAGCGGTGTGTGGAAACTGGCAAATGGGAAACTTAATGTGTTGTGTGCACTTCCCCCTTAAACACAACACAATCTTTGAAAGCGCACCACCAGGGAGGAGCGAGGCCCTGACTGAGCTCTCATAGTAGGGCGAGGTGGAGCCCGCAGGAAGAAGGAAAAAGCGGCCATCGTGATCACAGGCAGGGAAGGGAGGGCCTGCTCAGCCCTGGGGCCTCCTCCTCCGAACGGATGCAAACATGCACTGTATTTGTCAGGGGCGCTGTGTAATTCTATTTCTCCTGCGTGTCCCTAGTAGCTTATTTTAAGTGCTTTCGCTCTGGTCCTTTGGCCAATCCGCCCTGCTTTTGTCTTCGGCGTGCAGTTAAGCATTCCTTAGCTGGAGCCCCTGTGTGCTGCAGAGCTGATGCTGCAGGGACCACAGTCCGTGGGGTGGGGTGGGGGCCCTCTCCTCCCTCTTATCAGCGTCAGGCAAGATGTAGCTATCAGTGAACACAGGCTTACCTGCCTGTCTGTGATCACGATAGCCACGTTTTCTTCTTCCTGCGGCTTCGCCTCGCTCTCCCGTTAGAGCTCAGCCATGGCCTCGCTCCTCCCCAGCGTGTTTTCAAATATATTATACAGTGGGTGTGTTTTCAAATATTTTACATAGTGGGTGTTCTACTGCAACACCTGAAAGAGCTCCGAGTGGTTTTCAATAGTAGCCATTTAATACAATTCTATGACAATCTGCGGAGTGCCTGCTGTGCTGAGGACAATGTTGCTGTGCCATCTCATTCACGTTACTCTACAGAACAGTACTCAGGTCATCCTTTCATCACGGTGCTGCAAGCCCGCGGTGGCCAGATGGCCTTCACTTCAAACTCCATCGCTGGCCGAAGCTATTGCAAGGGCTTCTGCAATCAGTCTCTATTAGCAATGGGTGTCTCACTTATATTTTAATTAAAAGTGGCCTGAGGACTGGCAATGATGCATATCAGAAATGGCTAGAGTTGGTGACGTTTTTTATTAAATCATTTTATTGGGGTCTCGTACACCTCTTATCACAATCCATCCATCCATCCATTGTGCCAAGCACATTTGTACATTTGTTGCCATCATGATTCTCAAAATAGTTGCTTTCTACTTGAGCCCTTGGCATCAGCTCCTCATTTTCCCCTCCCTCCCCGCTCCCCCTCCTTCATGAACCCTTGATAATTTTTAGGTTATTATCATTTTGTTGAGTTAGTGAAATTTCAGGTACTCAAAATGCATGGATTAGTTGCATTTCTTTCACTTTTAGTTTAATGCATTTGAGACACTCAGCACCCTGGTGTGCACTTGTGAGAAAATCCACTCCTGCTCATTCTCTTCCCCCACGGGGGCAGTGCTCTAGGACAACTAACATTTCCCTCCTGCCCTGAGCCAACTGGGGACGCTGGCAGGTTCTAGCGGCCTGAGAATGACCGGGAGTGTCCTGCCTCTGCAAACCGGAGGTTTCATGGAAGCAATGATCACAATGTCTACAAGACCAGAGAGGTGGGTTTCTGAAGTCTGAAAGAGAGGTTTGTTTTGTTTGATTTGGTGGTTTCTTGGTAATAAGCATTTGGCGAATGTTGAACTGTGTGCTAGGATCTGGTCTGAGATTCACTGTCATTACCAGTTGGCAATGGGTTTGTTGGGGAGCTGAGAACTGTGCAAGCCCAGATGAGTGCCCAGGAGAATTAGAGGTGAATGGGGGGAGGGGAATCACATGATTACAGGTATGGATTCAGATATGTATTGGACAAAATTTGAACTTATTAGAAAAAAACTAAGGAACATTTACAAAATTGTACCCAAGTCAAAACCAAACTTAATGCCATTGAGCTGATTAACAGTGACCCCAAATAGGGTTTCCGAGACTATAAATCTTTATGGGAGCAGGTAATATGAACTCTCTCCTGAGGGCAGCTGATGGGCTTGAGCCATCAACCTTGCAGCTAGCAGCTCCTAATCCACAGCCCCACCAGGGCTCACAGCAAACACGACAGGTCTACTGGTGAAAGACTGCGTGCTCTTCCCATACGATTAGGTAGGAGACAAAGACTCCAGCTTACTACTTTCATTCCTTCCACTTAGTGCTGGCAGTTCTGTCAGGGCACAACAAGGAATAAAAGGCAAATGATGAAATAAAAAACTAAAATATCCTTATTTTTGACATGAGCCCCCAGAAAAACCTCAAGGAGTCTTAAAATTAAAAAAACCCACAACTATAATTAATAATTGAGTTAAGTAAAGTCACATGACACAAGAAAAACATGCAAAAAAATAATCTTCCCTCTGTCGACTAGCAAAGAGCAACATGCAGATCCTGAAATTAAAAATAGATACCTGGGACAAATGCTCAAAATATGAAAACCTTAGATGTAAATTTAAAAATGTGTACAGGACATGTATGACAAAAACTACAAAATAATGAAATAAATCAAAGAAGATCTAAATAACATACAGTGTTCATGTATTAAATTCAATTACTGTATCCCCAAATTAATATACACAACTCCTATCAAACTCCTAAAAATATTTGATAGTCACAGATAAAATTACCTTAAAATTTATATAGGAAAGCAAAAGAATAGCAAAAACAAGTTTGAAAAGATGAATGAAATGGAAGGAATCAGTCTATTATTAACTACAAAAGGCAAGGCTGTGTTATTGGTAGAGGGGTAGACCCTACATCAGTGGATCACAACAGTGAGTCCAGAAATTCACTCCCTGGCCTTGAGTTGATTCTGACTCACAGTGCCCCCTATAGGACAGAGGAGACTGCCCCTGTCGGTTTCTGAGATTGTCCGTCTTTACAAGAGCAGAAAGCCTCATCTTTCTCCCAGACAGTGGCTGGTGGGCTTGAACCGAAGACTTGGTGATTAGCAGTGTAACACATAATTCACTATGCTACCAGAGCTCCTATAATCCGGAAACAGACCCACACATAAATCCAACTGAGTTTTGACAAACGTTCCAGAGCCATCCAATGAAAGAAGGGCAACCTTTCCAACAAAGGCTGGAGCAAAAGGAAAAATAAATCAGAACTGGATTCCAGACTTAATGTAAAATGAAGTACTATAAAATGTTTAAGAAGATATAAGAGACACTCTCTGAAACTGAGGGCTAGGAAAAGCATTCTTGGACTTTACACCTAAAGTACAATCCTTAAGAGCAAAATATTAAAAGGTAAACTGGTCTTGATTAAAGTGAAGATCTTTTGTTCTGTAAAAGATCCTAGTAGATGAAAAGAAAAGCTACAGAATGGTGAAAAATATTTGCAAACTACATTATCTGACAATAGACAAATACTGAAAATAAAGAACTCTCAAAGCTCAACAATAACGACAAGAAGAAATAGTAACATAATCAAAAGGCAAAACATAATCAAAAGGCAAGGCACATGAAGAGTCACTTCACAAAAATGGATATAAAGATGGCAAATAGGACATGGGGGGAAAAAAGGTTAAATGTCATTAGCCACAGGAAATGCAAATTAAATCCACAATGAGGTATCACCATACACCTGTCAGAATAACTGAAATAAAAAGTACTCAAAGAGTCTATAGAAGAACCCTGCTCAAAAGGAGGGGAAGGGGATGTCAAATTCCAATTTCTTTGGAATTCTGAGTTTCTGGATCCGTTGCAACTGGATGCAACCCCTGAAGTACTGCCCTGAGATAACTTTTAATCCTGAACCCTTAGCTCAAACTATCCACTGAAGTCTTCTTTAAACCAAACAACAGTCTACACACACTGCTATTTTTGTGCTCTTTTTAAAAGGTGTATCACGTGAGATCAAATTGCTGACAGCAAGTGTAACATTTTGATGGGAAGCTCAGGGGAAAATGAGTTTACGTCAATGGGCAGAAACGGAAAAGGAAGCTAAACAGATGGCTGTACTACCTATAGAACCTAATCAACGTCACTGCATGGCATGTGCAGAAATTGTTGGATTGGTGTGTGTTTTCCTGTAATGAGAGGGCTTCAGAAGGCTCATGGAGAAACAGAAGAAAAATAATGGAATTTCTCCATGAACTTTGTGCAACCCCGTCATAGTTAAAAAATACATATGGTGACAACATCAAATGCTAGCAAAGACAGGGAGACACTAGTAAACCACATTGCTGAAATGCAAATAGCACCTAACCCGTGTAGAAAACAATTTGGTAGTTCCTTTAAAACCTGGACATGCGACTACTCTTCAACCTAGCCACGCCACTGCACTCCTGGGAATTTGCCGGAGAAATGAAGCCCATGTTCACACAAAAACATGCACATGCGTGTCTATAGCAGCTGGGCTCAAAAGAGCTAACACCTAGAAACAACAGACACCTGTGGTTCTCCCATGCCGTCGACTATTTCTTAACAATAACAAAATGACACACTAGCAGGCTTCCGGCGTTAGGCTGTTAACTGCGAGGTCAGCAGTGCGAAAGCACCAGCTGAGCGGCGGAATAAAGAATTTTCTACTTCCCTAAGAGTTCTTTCAGAAACTCACAGGCGTAGTTCTACCCTGCCCTAGAGTCGTTATAGATGAGCATGGAGCCCTGGTAGCGCAGTGGTTACGCGCTGATATGCGATAGCAGGGTACTCAGTTCGAAACCACCAGCCACTCCGCGGGAGACAGATGAGACCTCCTACTCCGGTGGTCAGTCTGCGCACGCCCGGCACGCCCTGACTCATCAGTTTGCTAGGACCTGACTCACAGTTTGCTAGGATCGTAATCCACTCACAGGCGGTTTGGAGCGGAACTGTGGGGGCGTAGCCCGACCGAGAAGCCGTTGTGATTGGCCCGCGGCCGACGCAGCGCGTGACGTCATCCGCAGCGCGCAGCGCAGCCGCTCTAGACGCTCCAAGGAGACGCGGGGGAGACGCACGGGGCTGCGCGCTTCGGGCCCTTTCTACTACGACCTCTGCCCACCCGCCGCGAGTTGAAGATGCTCGCCGCCGTGTCCCGCGTGTTGGCGGGCGCCGCCCGGAAGCCAGCTAGCAGAGTGCTGGTGGCGTCCCGTAGCTTTGCCAGTGACGCTACATTTGAGATTAGGAAATGCGATCTCCACCGGCTGGAGGAGGGCCCGCCCGAGACCGCCGTGCTCACCAGGGAGGACGGCCTTCGCTACTACAAGATGATGCAGACCGTCCGCCGCTTGGAGCTGAAGGCCGACCAGCTGTACAAGCAGAAGATCATCCGCGGCTTCTGCCACCTGTGCGATGGGCAGGAAGCGTGCTGCGTGGGGCTCGAGGCCGGCATAAATCCCACGGATCATCTCATCACTGCCTATCGGGCTCACGGCTTCACCTTTACCCGGGGGCTCACCGTCCGAGAGATCCTGGCGGAGCTAACTGGACGCAGAGGAGGTTGTGCGAAGGGGAAAGGTGGTTCAATGCACATGTATGCCAAGAACTTCTATGGGGGCAACGGCATTGTGGGCGCGCAGGTGCCCTTGGGGGCTGGAATCGCTCTGGCCTGCAAGTACAACGGCAAAGAGGAAGTCTGCCTGACCCTTTACGGGGATGGTGCTGCGAACCAGGGCCAGATATTTGAAGCTTACAATATGGCAGCTTTGTGGAAACTACCGTGCATTTTCATCTGCGAAAACAACCGTTATGGAATGGGAACGTCTGTGGAGAGAGCAGCCGCCAGCACCGACTACTACAAGCGAGGTGACTTTATTCCGGGGCTCCGGGTAGACGGGATGGATGTCCTGTGCGTCCGGGAGGCTACAAAGTTTGCAGCCGCCCACTGCAGAGCTGGGAAGGGGCCCATACTGATGGAGCTGCAGACCTACCGCTACCACGGACACAGCATGAGCGATCCCGGAGTCAGTTACCGCACCCGAGAAGAAATTCAGGAAGTCAGAAGTAAGAGCGACCCCATTATGCTTCTCAAGGACAGGATGGTGAACAACGACCTCGCCAGTGTGGAAGAGCTCAAGGAAATCGACGTGGAAGTGAGAAAGGAAATCGAGGATGCAGCCCAGTTTGCTACAGCAGATCCGGAACCGCCTCTGGAAGAACTGGGGTATCACATCTACTGCAACGACCCGCCTTTTGAAGTTCGTGGTGCAAATCAGTGGATTAAATTCAAGTCAGTCAGTTAACGGGAACCCACGTGCAAATAATCTCTTACCAGATCTTACTGGGAATTGTCACCCTCAACTTTTTGGGTTTTTTCAAGGAGGAATTTTTGTGTGTTTGTTTTAAAGATAAGGGTTTTATTAACACGGCATACTATAGAAAAGGGAACGTGGTTTATATTACCAAAAGATAAGGCTTTGTTAACTGAAGGGGCCAGGGATGAGATACTGAGGAAGGGGAGAGGGAGAACCCCAGACATAAAGGGTTGAATAGGATATTGTTGATTTCATTTCTTGAGATAGGCGATGTAAATAGTGTCTTTTCTAAATAAATAAATAAAAGTCCCTCCAGTTTCCTTAGCCCTCAAACCTAGACAGTGGTCTGAGTGGCTTAAAGGAAAAAGGAGGAAAGTGAACTGAAATGGACTTGTCTTGCGACAAGTTCACTTCAAACAATACCACACACAAAAAAGACTACATACTATCTACATTAAAGGGATATTTGCATGCCTGAAAATAAAAACACATACTACTGATACACAGCAATCTACAGGCATCTGTTGAGCGAAAAAGCCAATCCCCTCAGACAATGATTCTGATTTTTGAAAGTCTTGAAATGATAAAATGGTACCACAGGAGATTATAGTGCATGGAGAGCAGTGGAGACCAGGGGTCCAAGGTGTAGTGGGGAGCAGTCGGGGAGTGGGGGTGGCTGCTGAAGGGCAGCAGGAAGGAGGCTGTGGTGATGACCTGGGAGAGTCTGTGGCTTTACCATTCCTGCCAAGGCCCTGGCTGCATTGAGAGACACTGGTTGTGGGGTACACATGATTGCCCTGTGTTACTTCTTGCAGCTACATACAAATCTATAATTAGCTCAAAAGAAATATTTTCATTAAGACAAGAAACCACAAGGGAGCAAGCTCGAAGAGGTTCCACTGATAAATGGGGGATAATTTTAGCACGAAAATAAGGATTTGTTATCAAGCAGCATTGTAGTGTAGATTATGGCACACATAAAATGTAAGATCTTATTATTTGATTGCCCCCCCCCTCCTTTGTTTTAAAGTTGTTTTCAGTTTTAAAAAAATGTGAAGGAAATACACGTGGATTAAGCCTCTGGTGAATTCCCTCTGACTATAGACCATGGATGTGAATAAGCCTTGCTTATTTAGTAGAATGCCTTCGGAAGTAGATTGCTGTAGATGCAGTTAGGTTAATATATATGCATTAGGTTATATATATATTTATATATGTTAGGTTAAATTTTAATACCTTATCACTTGATCTCCTTTTTGATTCATTTTAAATTGTACTTTTCAATATTTTCTCCTTTTGATTCTGAGTTTTCTCTGTTTTACTTTTGTTATTGTAGTTTTTTTGTTTTTTAATAAGGAATCCATGATAGGTAAATCTATAGAAACAGTAACTGGATTAATGGTTCCTTGAGGGTGTGGCTGGGGAGGAAATGAGCTAATTAAAATGAGTACAAGAAAGAAGAAAATGTTCTAAAAACTGGTGATAATTATACAATGCTACTTAATATGATTGAACTATTGAATTGTATGATTTGTGAAGTATATGCTAATAAAACTTAAAAAATAAAGGACTGCCATGAATTATAATGATTCAAATTAATAGAAAACCATGAGTGCATGCTGATGATGGATGGATGGGACGGACAGACGGACTGATTAAATGGGCCCCTGTTTATAGTAAGAATTAGAATGCTTCCTGGTAAGTGTGGAGAAATTGCTGGAGTTAAGGAATCATCATTTGGGACAATCATAGCCTAGATTGGTTCTGGCAAGAACCATAAATGAATACCAAATTGTAGAAGGGGTACTGATGAGGAATCAGATTTGCATAATCTTTATTAAATAAAATGGGAAAACATTCTAACCATACAAGGGAGGCGCCCTGGTGAGGTGGTGGGTTATGAGTTGGACTCCTAACAGCAACTGTAAAGATTTACTCTCAAATCCCACAGGGGCAGTTCTACTTTGTCCTATGGGATCCCTAGGAGTCAGCACAATCCGCTTCTAAGAACTGCACTCCTCCGCAGCTAGGCGGTTTTTCCCCGGGCCCTGAGGCCACCCTAGAGCCCTGGTGGTGTAGTGTTTCCAAGCTGGGCTGTGATGCACGCGGTGGGCCAGCTCAAGTGAGAGACTGGGCTTTCTACTCCGGTAAACAGTTGCAGTCTTGGAAACCCACAGAGGGGTCACTAGGAGTCAAGGGCAGTGAGTTTGGTTTGAGTTTGTGGCAACCCAGTTAGTCAAGTTTCTTCCCTCTATAACCTCTGCAGACCCTGTGTGGCTGGCATGGGACAAGCATGGTGACGGAGGCTGGAAAAGCAGACTGGTGCCACGCTGTGAAGTGTGAGCAGCCTGAAGAGGGCACGAAGGGTTTCTACTGTATTCAGTGTGCCATGGGAGGCTCACAGAAAGCTTTGGAGCAATGGGGCACACAAGCAGATCGCTGTCACAGGAAAGGTACCTCCTAAGGAAAGGTGGTGGGCTTATCTCCTGTTTTCAGAAGGTGATGATCAACAAGCAGAAGGCTGACTGGTGCCATGATACCCATGTAGGGGCACACACGTGGCAGAGTGGTCTACTGGCCCATGCTGAAGATGCTGCAAGCAGGGCATCTGGTGGGGATATGCAGCCAAAGGGATTTAGAGGAAGCTGGCTGGCACAGCAGTCAGAACTAAGAACTGGAACAGAGTCCCGGGGACCCCATGCTGTAGCAGGCATATTAACCATTGGCATATTATCCATTGGCTAGGTCACAGGGTCCATCAGAGGCAGGGCCATGGGGGCACATGGGAGCTTGGGTTGGGTGGACAGAGGCCATAGACGCATGGTGCTATCTTGTGTGTGAGTGCTGCCCTTTCCAGCACGGCTTCTCTTCTCCACACTGGCTACCCTGCAGCTGGTGTGTCTCTGGCTGGCTCTGGTGTTGCCCTTACCAGGGCCTTCACCAGAAAAGGGCCCTTCAACCTAAGGCTTCCTGGGCACACCAGGTGGTACTGCTGGTATGGTAAACCGCACGGCCAAGGTTCCCTCTGGTCCACATCTAGGACTGTGCCTACAATTACACCTGGGGTATTATAAAATAGGTCATTACCTTCCTCTCTAGGTAGTGCTTACTTATGTAATAAAGAGAGATGAACGTATGACTTCCCTTTTAAAAGGGTGCTATGCTGGTGGCACTGGTTAAGCACTCGGTTGTTAACCCACCATGGTTCTAACCCACCAGTACCTTTGACCAGGAGAAAAGGCCTGGCCATCAGCTCCCACAGAGAGTTCAGTCACAGAGTGCTAGTGGGCAGCTCTACTCCGCCATACAGGGCAATCTACATGGACATTTGTGGCCTAGGAAAGACTGCACAGAACAACAGCAACATGGTCAAGGCACAATTCTTGACTTTTTAGATCCCATTTCACGGAACCACCTTGGAGAGACTTCAAAGCACTAGTTTAGAAAGATTGTCTCCCCTTCTCCCATTTAGGTAGCAAGATGGGGAAAACATTTGTTTCCATAAGATTATTTTCTTGCAACATATTACACCCAACTCTCAAGTTTACCAGGACGTTTTTTGAAGACATGGCTGAAATTTAAACTGACAAGATGAAACAGAGTGGTTCCACCTGGACCAGGGGGAAGCGTTTCATGGTCATTTTTTCATCGTTCCTAACGTTATTTGGATGAGGAGGACGGAAGCAGCACCCATGCATTTGAAATACAGCGCTGGCCGAAAGAATGTTGAAAGTCCCAGAGTCTGCCCAGGGAACAAACACATCTATCTGAGACGAAGTACAGCCAGAATACTCCTTAGAAGCAAGGATGGTGGGGCTTTGTCTCACGTCCGTTGGACATGTTGACGGGAGAGACCAGTCCCTGGAGGACGTCGTCACACTTGGTCAAGTGGAGGGGCACGGAACAAGAGGAAGGTCTTCCACAGTATGGATCGACCACAGTGGCTGCACGAATGGGCTCAAACATAAGAACAGTCGTGAGGATGGCACAGGGCTGGGCAGCCGTGACCTTCAGTTGTGTATAGAGCTGCTGCGGGTTGGGACCCACTTGACCGCAGCTGACAACGACAACGTTCGTTTGTTACCTCTGAGGCGATGGAGGTAAAGCTGCTACTGAAATGCACGTGCTTGTGGATCTCACTGCCGTTGGCCGTCAGGAGCCAGGTGCCGAAGGTTCGGTCTCCACTCGCTGACTGGTTGCTGTGGCTCTGGTTTGGCAGGAGCTCTGCCAGGTCCCAGTGGTACGATGGCGTGGCCCCAACCAGTGCAATGAGGATGGCTTCCGTGGCCACGTAGAGCTGCAAGGGCAAAGGACAGAATGAAGCACGGCACTCCTTCACTACCTCAGTGGAGCACTCTCTTGTGACTGTTTTTATGGGTTTCAGTAACTAGGACATTCAAACAGAGAACACTGTTATGACGCCGGCCATCAGCAAGTCCGCTTGCCAAACAGGTGATAAGTTTTTCAAAGGGTGTTCGCCCACATTTCAGTTGGGGTTGACACCGAGAACTTGGTGGGGTCCCTGATTTAAGAGTCTCACATTCCCGTTACTTCTTCCTCAGCACTATACCTGCAATTTAAGTAAGCCGTCACCAGGGGGCCAGAAGTAACTCGCCTGGGAGTCCTGATCTCAGCAGCTTGTCAATTCACAGTTGAGCATCTCAGAACACAACATAAATATTCACGCATACGTATACAAAAGCAGAACGCCTTATTAAAGCAGGGAAAACATAATAGGACTGGGCAAAGTATTATTTTAAAATACAACCTACGATTTATTATAAGACTTCAAGAAACTTAAAACCCCAGGAACCGACGATTCTCACACCCTACCCTTCAGCTGTACTTCATCATTGTTTAATGATGTATTTCATCATTCTCTGTGCCCACCCCAAGAGAAACAGTACAACACTCAGTGATTCAAGACATATTCGTTAAAAAAGGAGGAGCTGATCCCAAGGGCTCAAGTAGAAAGAAAATGTTTTGAGAATGATGATGGCAACAAATGTACAAATGTGCTTGACACAATGGATGTATGTGTGGATTGTGATAAGAGTTGTACAAGCCCCCAATAAAATGATTTTTAACAAATAGAATATTCATTGATGGGTCTGGGCTTTGCAGCCATGCACACGGAGTTTTTCAGATGTCAGGCCTTATGCAGTCTTCCCTAAGCCACAAATTTCCATTTATATTCGCTCTCATTATTGGATGATTATTTCACGCTTAAAATTTGTTGGGAAAACACAGAACTAGCTTGCTCCACAGGGAGACAACGTTATTTTGCAAACTGAACTCGTAAAGTTGTAAGTGCCTGTGTGGCTGTTGCTAGGTGGCATGGCGTCGGTCAGGCCCATAGCAACCCTGTGCACGACAGAGCAAACTCCCGCCTGCTCCTGCGCCATCCTCACAATTGTTTCCATGCTGGCTGCCAAGGTTCTGCTTTCCTCCGTGAGGCTTTCAGTGTCGGACAAAGTTTCCACGCTATGTGTGCAGAAGGTTTTCAGGGCTCCTTCCTCGGAAGTGGGGACAGAATTGTTCATTGTTCTCAGTCTGGAAGCTCCACTGAAACGTGTTCACTTTGGGGGACCCTGTTGGCATTGGAAATACCAGTGACATAGCTTCCGGCATCACAGCAACACACACGCCACCACAGTACGACAAACTGCCTTTAAACAGTGTAAAAACATGCGATTTCATGACAGCATACATGACTGAATCGACTGGGCAAAGAGAGGGGGAGGAATTTGCTCACTGCTTGTATCTCCAGTCACAGCAAACTGGCAGCCCGAGGGCCCCTCCGGGCCATGCTGGAGGGGCCTATTCAGCTGTTAGGGGGCAAACTAAAGAGCCAGAAACAAAGCGAAACAAAAGCAGTCAACCCTTGCTGTCAGATGTGTTCTGCCTACGGCAGTTTGTCATTCACGTCCATCAAGTGACTGTGATTCATGAACCCTACAGGACAGGTGGACCTGCCCCGAGGGTGTCTGAGACTCTAACTCTTCACAGGAGTAGAAACCTTTGTCTTTCTCCCTCCGAGTGGCTGGTAGCTTTGAACTGCTGACTTTGCTGTTAGCAACGCATCACAGAACCATTACACCACCAGGGGTCCCACCTGAGCACTGGCAGATGCTAACATTACAAGGAAGGAGGAAAGCAGCCACATGACACTGACTGTCATAACAGAAGCTGGGACAGACCCGGGGATGCAGTGGCTTTTGTAGTCAGGCTGCGAGGACACGGGCGCCCACGTCGATCAGGAGTCCCCTGGCTGTGGGTCTCTGGAGATGTGCCATGTTGCCAGAGATCCAAAGTGCAAGGGATTTGCTTGCAAGACAAAGGAAACCTGTTCCACGATGTCTATGACTTCTTGACCCCTGTTTGCATGCTGAAAAAAGAAATTTTGGAGCAGGGGCAAACACCTCACAAATCGTTAAAAAACACTTCCCAGCACAAGTAGGTACACGTTGAGCAGTGGCTGACGTGACTCGGGCCATCACTCCTCTCTCGGTCTACGGCACTGTGGTGGCGCACAGATGGTTGTGATGCTAGAAGCTATGCCTCTGGTATTTCCAATGTCAGCCGAGTCACCCACGGTGGACAAGTTCTAGTGGAGAAACCTCCAGACGAACCTCAACCAAAATCGGAAGACGGGCCTGGCAAACTACTTGTGGGGAAACAATGGGCGGTGAGAGCTGACAGGTGGCAGAGGAGCACCGTGCAAGGGAGCGGGGGCGGACGAGCCCCTCAGGCTGAAAGGCACCAAAGTGCAACTCAAGAAGAAATGTCTCCTCAAAGCAGAGGGGATCTCAACGACACAGACCGAGCACAGCTTTCAACGTCTCCCTTTGCTGATACGGGCGGGCTCAAGCATCCCGCAGTCATGGGCATGTGGAACAGGTGAATCAAGGGAAATTTGAAGCTGTCCACATGCAATGGAGTGTTTGGAGAATGAGATCTTGGGCATTAGTGAGCTCGAAAGACATCGTAGCTGCTCTTCTGAATCGGACAGACATGCAGTCGACTGTGCCGGGACTGACGAATGGAAGGGGAATGTCCTCATGTTCAGCAACAAAAATGTGTAAGATCCACAAGTACAATACTGTCGGCGATAGGATGACGTCCACATACATACAAGGAAATGTATAAACTATGCAATCAAGACGCCTTGATAATTCCTGGTAATTGCACTGTGACTCCTGGGGGCATAATCGGGTGATTGTTGTAATGCCGACCATAAGGTAAATGGTTCAAACCCACTACCTGCTTTTTAGGAGCGAGATGAGGCTCCTCGCTTTGGACATCTTTGTGAAGAGTGGAAAGCCTCAGAAACCCTGCATAGGTAGCTCGGAGGTAGCACGAACTCCATGGGAGTGAGTTTGGGTTTGGTGTGGAATGTGAGAGTTGGAAACAAAGAATCAATAGTTGAAATATATGACCTCGGTGAAAGAAATGAAGATGGAGCTGGTATAATAGAATTTTGCAAGACCAACAACAATCCATTGCCAATACCTTTTCAACAATATAAATAGTGACTATCCACGGGAATCTAAGCAGCTACATTTGAGTGAAGAGACAATGGAAAACTGTAACATCACTGGTCAGAACAAGGGCAGGGCTGAATGCAGAACAATCAATTTTTGATAGGGAAGTTCAGGTTGAAACTGAAGGAAATGAAAACAAGTCCATAGGAGCCAAACAATGACCCTGGGTATATCCTACTGGATTTAGAGACATCTCATGAGTAGGTGTAAAGCACGGAATGCTAATGGCCCAAGACCGGAGGAGGTGACATCAACATGGAGCTGACATCCAGGGTTGGTTTCAAGAGCACCATATATGAAGAATGCAGTCATTGAAAACAGGGGGTGGAAAGGAAAGATTAAAGTGGACGCCAGAAAAGTCTCTGACACTTGTTCATGAACACAGAGTACCTAGAACAAGGAGGGGAAAAAACATGAATTAAAAGAGCTGAACAGGAGATTTCAATGGGAAGCTAGAGAATACAAGCTCTTATAATGAAAGGTGCAAAGACGAGTTTGAATACCAACATGGAAGAACATCCTTGGATTTCTCACGCAGAATGAACTGAAGAGAAATACAGACTGAGTTGTAATACTAGAGGATTCTATGGGTAAAATGGGCTCAGCCACAGAAATTGTGACGAGGGTTCAGGACAGGGCAGTGTTTTGGACATGGGGTCACCGTGAGTCAGAGCCAGCTCAATACACTGGAACCGCAAAATGGTGAGCAAGAAAAGAAGACGGAAGGAACGCACAGGCCCTGCATCTAAGGGGAGCATTCAAGAGGTGGCAGAGGAGAAGAACCAAGTGAGCTAGTTCATGGTGCCAGCCTGGCCGATAATCACATGTGGGGCTCATTGAAAGGCGGAGGGATAAATGGGTGGTGAGCCTCGCCTTTCTA